TATATAATTGATATTAATTAAGTATTTGACAGTTAATATATATTGTTATATATATAGTTTAAATATTATTATTCAAAAATTTTAAACAATTAATTTATAAGGTATACAACTAATTCAAACAAATTAAGCTATTGTCTCAGTACGGCATTGCTGCGTCTTGCATTCGTTTAACCATTAAGATTTAAGAATATGCTCTCTGTGTATAATATATAAATGTTAAATATGGATAGTATTATAAGAATAATTTTTTTATATTATTTTTTTAATATAATTTTTATATGTCATTAAATAAGTCGATATATTCAATATCACGAATCTCATATGAATTAAAAAAATTAATCATTTTAATGACACATCAAATTATACAAAAAAAAAGATAAAAAATTATACAAAAATCATTTCTCATAAAATATATCCCTTAAGCATATCCAAATCATAATAGTGAATGTTGAAAATTAGGACTTCTAAATCTCAAACTCTTCACGTTGGACTCCTCCCTGTTATTGCTTTTCAGATGATAACTTTCAAAACTCTCGTTCATTATGAAATTCTAACATAAGAAATCATATAGCACTCCTCCCTCTTTCATCTTTCAACTCATCAAAAAAGTTCAGCATTCAAAGATAATATTTTGAGGTACATTTATTATTTTATAATATAGGGTTGCTGTCTTGTGAATTTTTAGAGGTCGACTTGTAAGAAAAAAAAAAGTATAGAATACTTAGAAAATTAATTAAATATTTTTATTGAATTAATATAAAAAGAGAATTAATTAAATGTATTTAAATAATTTTAAGAATATTCCTATACTTTTTTATATATGTCATCGTGGAAAACACTTTTATGTTTCGCGATACAATTCAGGTGTGATACTTTGCAAAGAAAGTAAGAAAAAGATCAATAAAATGAAAATATTATAATACAATTTATCTTTTGCATATTGCATTTCTTTTTTTTTTTTTAAATAAAAACATTAGATAAACCAGAACTTCCAAACATGTTAAATAATAGCATCATTTCTAGTTTAAAATAAAAATAATTTTATTACAATATCACATTATTAATAGTATTAATTAATAGCATCATGATATTTCAATATAATATTTTTATATAATTTTACGTTGTGAAAACTTACATGATTTTTACGCTAATAAGTAATTTTTTTACCATATAACATACTCGAATTATTATACATTCACTCGAATTCTTTTTCAACCGTTGAACTTGAAGTATTTCTGTAATTTATGAATGAAGTTAATCACTTACGTTATTTTTGATAAATTTCTTTTAACACAAAATAACATTTTTTTATGAATTATTAACATAAAATATTAACAACCTTTTGATTCAAATAAAAACAACTCAATTCTCATTAAATAAAATTTTGAATTTAAGTTTTATAAATAAAAAAAATAGATATTGAGAGAATTTCTACCTTATAAGATATAATATAATTTGATTTTAAATTAATCAAAATTTAATTTTATTTTTAAATATTAAATTTACTTTAAAAAAATTAAATATCAATTTTGATCCTCAACTTTAAGATTTTATATAATTTTTATCTTTCAATTTTTTATGCATTTTTTAATCCCTTAATTATAAAAAATGTATTTTTTTAGTCATTTAATCAATTAACTTATTAAATCTATCTAAATTTACACATTTATAATCCCTAAATTTTTAATATATGCACATTTTTATTCTGTTAACTTTTAAGTTGAGAGACTAAATATATGTATATTTAGATAAATTTAACAGATTAATTGATAAAATAACTAAAAAATATATTTTTTATAGTTAAAAACTAAAAAAAAAACATAAAAAATAAAAAAATAAAAATTACATAAAACTTACATATTAACTAATAAAATAACTAAAAAATATATTTTTCATGGTTGAAAAATAAAAAAATACATAAAAAATTAAAAAAATAAAAATTATGTAAAA